AGTCTGCTGTCTTACTAGACTAGTAACCTGACCTTACGTAATGAGGCAGGCAAACAAAGTTTGTGTGACACTTTTATTTCCCTGTTACACCTGACCTTTGTAATTTGGCGTGGAAATATCACTGAAATTGAAGCTATTTGTATTTGTGTGGCAGGTAATTTGCATTAATTTATCACTCTTAGAAATTAGAGAATGTATTGTGATCTAACAAAATCATACATGTATGTCATGATATGACAGAGAAACGAAAAAAATATTGGACCTACAATGTATAGAATGACTTGAGTGCAAGAACATCGTGGTCATTGTCTGACTGTATTCTAACCTGACAACTGAAATTACAAGTCAGTGCTGCCAGCGCATAACGCTTGCATACTTGTGATATACACATATTGATTGCCTCTTAATTTAACCACTTGGATGTTTTGATTTGCGAGGTTTCTACACCACAAGATTAACCAATTGCTGACGAGTGCCTTTGGAAATGCAGTGTCTAATGCCGGGTGATTTTTCAATATCTTCAGTTTTCAAAAATCTTCAAAAATTCGTATCATTTTCCTGAATGTCTAAACCCCATCAAGTGACTGTCTGGTGGCTACTTTAATCTGACAGGCAACATCTATTGATTCCCAAGTATTTCAGCTGGGCCTGCAGCCTTGTAAAAAGAGCCCAGATTGTGTGGTGTTATGTAATTTTCTTTTGTTCCTGAAACTAGCACAGTGCACTGCTGGCGTCTTTTCAATAGGGGCCAGAGTAGCAGGTAGCGGTATTGTATCGCTCACTGGTGGAGCGCTTTTGTCCCCAGTGGTAATGCCACAAACAGTGGTATAATCTTTCAAAACAACCACCGATTTCCTCCCCTATTGATAGCTGAAAGTATGTTGGCAATTCCCAGCAGCCTAGTCTTTTGTTCTGAGTATGGTCTTTTGTTACAATGCCCAACTCTTTTGTCTGATTTTGGGCACCTCGTCTATGCATACAAACCCAAGGAACCCTATACCGGGCACCCTGGCATAAAGTGGTTAAAGAGACTGCATGAGAGTGGAACCTCTACAGACACTGGGCCACCTCCAGTTTAGTCTATATATCCATGTAGATATCACTTGCTTATTTGTGTTTTCAGATAACAGAATGGCGGGTTGATTTTACAGTGCCCGGAAGCACAGACAACGAAGGCTGGCAGTACGCCAAAGAAATCAAAAGGTGAAGCATCTGTCTTCTTTCTTGATGGACTCTAAGACAAACTATCATGTCAATATTGACTTGTGTTATTAAGCATACGTGTAGAAGTTGGAGACTTTATTGGAGGGCATTATAGGAGGACAAAGTGCAACAAATTGATTAAATTAATGGGAGGCACCTGTTTTTTTCATGCTTTCATTCTTCAGTCGTAAAGGTTACCACAAGGATAAACGATGGAATGACTATGCAAGACGGCGGCGTTGGATCAGGTTAGAAACTTGGATCTCATAACCCAGAATTTGGCTGTTGTGATTGAATTGGAATTGAGCAGAAAAGTTGGATAATGTACAATTATACCTCATACATATTCATGATTGGGGGCCCAATTCTGACTGGACCATTCACCATCGTGCACCATATGGTATCTTTGCTGTTTGCCAAGTGCACGTGAACTTTCACACATGTAGTAAATACACTGGTTTGCCCTTTACAAGGCAATCAAGGAACCGTTGCATGAGTGTCACACACACGCATATGCATGCCTTAACGTCACTCTACCTATATGTACATGATATCACATATACACCAAAAGATGGCAGAATACGTATCTCATTGTATTTTATGGAGTTTAAGTAAATACTGTATGAGATATACCTCATCAAATATAACATAGTTTATTTCAGTTGAACAGTCAATATCAGCTCCCTAGGATATTGGAAGTTGGCAAACTAGTTAAAGTCTCAGGGACTACGAAATTGTCAATTTCCAATACATATATCTGAGGGAACTAATATCGACTATCCAGTCTCAAACCTTGTTACATGTTATATTTGTGTATTGCCAGAGCATTGCTGTAAGTATGACTGATGATGTGGATGGCATAGTGTATCATTCTGGACATATGCGTAGGTTAACCAGGAACATTAGGTGAAGTGGTAGGATTAGATTTGGAAGATTTCTACACAAACGTCTTTTTGGGGTAACATGCTTTTTAAAGTCTTTTGGTGTTGGTGTGTTAGTGCACAAGAAATGTAAAAAACAGAAAGTGGATAATTACATTAAGCTGACATTTAATAAGGGAATAAATATGTGCTTGGTTGGTCTAAATGTGCATTAAGACTGGCTCAGGAGAATAGACATGACTAATCAGTGTTCATTCTCCCAACAGGACTCAAAATTAACAGGGCAGGTAGCTAAAATGCGCCTATTTGTCTCAGAAATGTGCCCGTAATCAAAGACGTACGCAAGTACTTTCGCCCATTTGATTCCATTATTGTTATGAAAAAGTAATACACGTACCTGAACACTTTTACCGTTTGTTTCTACTCTTGTTATGAAAAATACCTTTTATGTCACACAGCGCACGCCGTAGTCTCACATGCGATGCATGCACACACATGAACGCACACACGCATGCGTGCAGCCAGTGTCATGTCATCCACCTAATGGTCTGTATAGGTCTGCAATGGTCTGAACGCTGCTCCAAACTAGCTGGAACCAGCAAAACCAAATTCTCGAAAACGCTCGGCTGCTTTAGTCCCTTTTTCATCTGTGTGCATAAGCCTGGTGCCTGACTGTTGGCGTTGAGTCACTAAGCGCAAATGAACATTAAAAAGGCCTGGTGCCTGACTGTTGGCGTTGAGTCACTAAGTGCAAATGAACATTAAAAAGGCCTGGTGCCTGACTGTTGGTGTCGAGTCACTAAGCGCAAATGAACATTTAAAAGGCCTGGTGCCTGACTGTTGTCGTCGAGTCACTAAGCGCAAATGAATGTTATAAAGACTGACAAATTCAGCTGTCTAAGGAGCAAGGACATTCACGTGCTCCTATGATGATTAGCCCAATTTCAAGCCCTGCCGAAGCCGGTCTTAAACATTAACGACCAAACTCATATTCATTCCCATTCATAAATACCAGCAAAGGAAATCAATATTTATCAAACACCGTGCCATATGATGGTTTATTCCTAATGCAAGTAGTCAAGAAGTATCTCCTTATGTGGACTTTGAGAGCATGTGGTAGGTTTTGCGTGCACACAGACTACTGACCAATCGGAATGGATTAAACTGTCTTGTATCCAGGTTCCAGCGCATCCTTTATGCAGCTGGCATTATAAATTCCCACTGGACTCTGTCAATTGTTAATACACCGTCACATGATGTGTTTTGACCATTAGGAATAGAAATAATAGGAATAGAAAGGCTGTGTAAAGTTTTTTATGAATTGAATTTCATGAAATGAAATTGAAATGTTGGATTGGCTGCTTTCAGGAAGTGTCAGCTAGTTACAACAGGTCCATGGCGAGAGATACCCAATCTGACCCTCAGTGATGTCTCAATGCAACCTGATGTTGATGAAGATTGGGATGGCCCCATTGCATTGTGGGCCATCGGCTCAAATGGAGATGTCTTGACAAGGCTTGGTGTAACCAGACATTGCCCTGAGGTAGGAGGTCAAAGGTTAAATCCAACAGCAGTTTGCTTCAGTCAGAGAAGTGATCTACACAGTGCAATTAAAGCCGATTTGCCATTGGACTTTTTCTTCTGTGGTGAAGCAAAAATGTACCATGTCAAGCAATTCCCACTTGGACTTAATGGAACGTGTATTCGATGTGCGAGATGAGCTGAATGACACGTATTGATAGTGCTGTGCAAATCACCTTTGACCTCAGAGTAATATGACAAAATCAGCAAATCTGACCATAATATGACAAAATTCAACCAAGTCTGCCATGTTTTAAGTGGCAGCCGATCAAGATGTGGACATATATGCGAGTACATGTATATGGTGTGTTGTGCACAAGAAGACTGGGAACCATTTTCGCATATCCACTGTCAGTATCTCTGTAGAAGTGAGCTGTCCTGTTCAGAGGTTTACAGCATGGTTGCAGTAAATCTTCATTATGAAACTGTTCAAATACAGTCGACTCTCGGTAATACGAGCTAGGGTAAGACGAGACTCCGGTTAAGACGAGTATATTTACCGGTCCCGACTAAATTATGCACATTCTTATGAGGAAAAAAAATCCATAATACAAGCTCGCGTTTTACAAGATTCCGTTTAAGATGAGCATTTTGGGGGCCCCAGCTGCGTGCGAATGTATTGTTATCCGTCTAATTAGCACAAGGGTTTTTGAAGGCAACTTGTCAATCAGTCAATCCATTGAATTCAGAAAGGCTCTTTTGTAATTGATGGTGTACAGCAGGTAAAGTGCTGCAGGTTTCACTCACCAAGTGAAGCCCTCTACTGGCTGATCCACACCACCAATAACTGGTTTCTGCCCTTTTTGTGCAACAAGCGCAGCACTGATGTTGGCTACCACCTAAAATGTTAATGTACTTACATGCATGTGTTGTATGACGATCTCATTGCGGCGTGCTGGGGACATAAAATGGCATCACTCCAACCATGCATCCTCCAACTCGACTTGACCGGTTTCTCCGTTCTTGTAGTATGTTATTCTTTATTTCAAGTCTTTATTCATAAAAAGTACAGTTACTTCTCACTTTCATAAACATAAACTATTTTGAAATCAAATTCTAAACCACACGTACGTGCATACAAAGTACACGTAGGCCTACATGTATGTACAGGAAGTTGTACATGATGTACACTTAACGATACGGTTGATCGGTTACACATGTGACAAGCGGGACAGCAGCTTTCGCGTAAGACGAGGTCTGGATAATACCAGCTAAGTTAGAAAGTCCCAAGGCCCTCGTATTAACGAGAGTCGATTGTATTCTGTTCCCATTGGACTTGTAGGGTGCTAACTTACTGTGCCTGTGCAGAAATCTTCAACAACCACTTTTGGTCTGGTAGTTACATTACAGTCGCTGTAAGTTGACAGGGACCTTAGTTCATTGTATGTCCCCGTTGGATTTAATTTTGTCATTCTACAGGAATGTTAGGGTAAGTTATTAAAAAAGTCCCATGGGAACTGGGCTTAACCACTTTCTGCCGGGGACCCATTTTCGAGCACATAGGCTTTATACACGAAGCCGGGGAGCCCGAAACCAGGACAAAAGAGCTGGGCCTTGTAACAAAAGACCGTCCTCGGGACAAAAGACTGAGCTGCTGGGCATTACCGACATTTTTTCACTCTCAATAGTGGAGATAATCCAGCCTTGTTTTGAAACAGTATACTATGGTTTGGGGCATTTAGAGTGAGTGGATTACCACCGGGGACAAAAGCTCTTCACCACCACAGCAATGAGCCACACAGCAACGCTGCATGCTAATCTGGCCCCTGTTGAAAAGAAGTCAGCAGCGCTCTGTGCCAGGTTCGTGAACAAAAGAAAGTTATATAACACTGCACAATCTGGGCTCTTTTTACAAGGCTGCGGGCCTGGCTGAAATACTCGGGTGTCAATAGATTTGTCTGCCAGGCTACCTTAGAGTGGCCACCGGACAGCAATTCTTGTTGGTGTAAACGTCCATTAAATGAATGATGAATTTTTGAAGAATTTTGAAATCTGAAAATCTTGAAAATCGCCTACATGTGTGCACTGCATTTTTCAAACCACCCGGCAGAAAGTGGTTAAGATGCATTACTCATTGGCTGTGCGATACAGTAACTGACATATTAACCCCTTCACGGCTGGATTGTTTTGGCCGCGACTGCAGGGCTGTGGTATATCCTAAGTGGGGGGCTTTGTCCAGCAGCAGGCCCCATTGAACCAGCAGCTGCATGGTGAATAGACTGTATGTGTGGTATGCACTAATGCTCACACAATGGTGCGGTAGTAGCAGTCCTCCGTAGGGAAGGAGTTAAGCTGTCTGAATTTCTTGGCTGTGGCAAGCAGTAATGCAGATGTTTAAAAGAGATGGCGGAAGCCTCTAGTTAACAACTTCCATAAACACATGTCTTATTGCCAGCCATAGCCATTCACTTGGACACATCCCAAGATACGTGATGCATTGCCTTCTAATGTGTGACAGTGGAACATGGAAATCAATGAGGATACAGATGTAACTTCAGGACTGGTTCCCACCCATTCCTGCTGAACTCCAGAATATAATAGAGAGCTCTGGGAACTGGTCATCTTTACAGTTATTGTTTGGCCATTTTGGGCTTGTGTTCTATGGAACATACTGTACTGTATCAAGTAAGTTGCAAAGTTAAGCAATGAATGGTGCGCATGGATAAGTGAAAAAAGGATAATTCTGCTCTTTACTTCATAGTAAGGCTAAACACCGCCCTCTTTAGGGTGTGCATAGAGTCCTGTGGTTGATTTTTTTTAGGTTTCCAGTCATTACAACTTCAAGCAGTGTATGGTATTACCGCACCTGTCTTCAGGAAGTAAGTGAAGTTTGTGTCTGATTTCAAATCACTAGGGTTACAGTTGGCTTCATGTTCCGACGGATCAATCCTTCCAGTCCATTTCTGTAGGGGGTAATTATCGTGTCTGGGCCGTTGCTAAGGATGGCTCTGCATTCTTCCGCAATGGAATCCACGGACAGAACCCAACAGGTAAGCTACATGTACATTGCTGGATTGAGTTTGGATCCCAGTCCTAGGCAATAACAGCAAAAACATGTTCACTTAAAGATGTTGCATATGTAAGTCCGACTCTAGTTTTAGTGTAGACTTTATTCTTCACTCAAAGGCATCGTTTAGATTATTGTAACAGTTTTTTGACTTTTGTCTGAACCCAGAAAATCTGATGTACTTTAAGAAAATCGATCTGTTTCATTACTGGTTTAGTCGCTGTTCTTGTTTGTCCGTTTTTCCTGAAGTCTTGCTAGATCTTGGCAACTTAGAGTCACTCTCGTGCATCTTAAGCTTCGAAATGAACTGTCGTATTCTCTAACTTTGGCTTTGGGATATTTCTGTGTGTGTAACTGCAAGAATGTATGTGCCTTTTCCTTATGACAGGTGATGCCTGGTTCCACATAGCATTACCAGCCATTGCTCCGTTGATTCAGGTATCATGTGGGGCTACAGCAGTCTGGGCTGTCGACAGCCAAAGTAAGAGACAAAATTTGATAAGTCTTGGCTTTCCTTAATGAGGGAATAGTCAGGCTGCATGCTTAGCAGGGCTAAGGCTTCTATTTCTGTCACTGTTGCTCTGTATTGAATAGCAGGAGCCAACAATCTGCTTCATGTAGGAACAAGTCAGAGCAAGGTTTTTGTTGTTACATAGCACTACTGCCCCTTTGGTGGAAGAGCAACACGTGTGTGCACAGGTTTCTGCGCAATGGAAGCAGGATGCATTGAGTATGGGCGACCAATTCCTGATAGAATGTGTGGTGTCTGTAGATTTTTTGGTTGGTTTGTTGGGGTGCTTTTTGTTAGTATGTTAGTTGGGGCATTGTTGTGGTCGAGACCTCTTCAGACCATCACAAGACTCCACGAGACAAACACGACACCTTCTGTCTGAATTCAAGTCACAAGCCATTCAGATGAACTGCAACAAAGGCATTCCTTTATCATTGTTTGCCCTGTTACTTGTGACTGGTCTTGTGCATGGTCTTGTGATGGTCTTTTGATGGTCTTGTGTCTGGTCTTGTGATGGTCTTGTGTCTGGTCTTGTGATGGCCTTGTCTGGTCTTGTGATGGTCTTGTGTCTGGTCTTGTGATGGCCTTGTCTGGTCTTGTGTCAGGTCTTTTGATGGTCTTGTTTCTGGTCTTGTGTCTGGTC